ATCCAAAAAAGACTGCTGTCTAGACATCAAAGATAATACTCAGGGAACTGAGAAATACATCCCAACTCTCACATGAGACTAGTTAGAAACACCACCTCCCCAGCAGAGTGCTCTGGAGTGTAAAGCAGAAGATCAATAGTTTCTCCTTTCTATATGGAAGGAGAAACTCGAATCTCCAAGATCAAGGAGTTTCTCCTTTCTATATGGAAGGAGAAACTCGAATAGGAAAATACAGACTGCTGAAAATAATCAGCAAAGGGAACTATACAAAAGACAAATTAGCAGGAAGGTCATCACAGGCATTGAAGCTGCCACCAGGATGACTGTCAAAACTCTGATGACTCCATTAAGATTCTAGAGGAGGGCCAGCAAGACAGCTCAGCAGTCAAAGCTCCTGCTTTGGCGAGTCCACTGACCAAATGGTTCCACCTTGTCCTGCATGCTGCGCTGGCCCTGCACCCCCTCCGTGTGCTGAGCAGGCAAATGAGTCCGGGCGTGGTGGTGCACAGTGTGTAATCCCAGCGCCAACAAGGAGGCTGAAAACTGGATTATCAGTACAAGTCCGAGCTGTGTAGTGAGACCCTGTACCAAATATATAAAATGGAAAAAAAAATTCCAGAATCTTCTCAGAAGTGGGAATAAGGAGCATTTTAAATCACTCATATAAAAAAAGTTCGTCAAACTCATCAAAACTAAGAAAAAAACAAAACAAAAAAACTGATAGAATATGCAAAAAAGAGGTAAACTGTATAGCTATTCAGTTACACATGGAAAAATGAACAAAAAGAAGCAAGAGGTGAATTTAGATATCCTGTCTGAGGTGCAATCCTGTCACAATAAGGGGACAACGTGAAGAGACCAAAACATTGAGGAGACTGACATGAAGATCTGAACATTCAAATAGAAGATTTCAATACTTACCTGGCAGAGACAGATACCATGATCACGAAGATGGTTTCCCTAGGGGGATCATCCATTGCACCCTGGATGTGCTGCCCCTGCGATTTCCCTAAATGTGGGAAACTCAACTGCATTATTTGTGGTAATGAGGGACTGCGTTCATGCTTCCCTATGTAAAAAAACAAAAACAAACAAACAAACAAAAAAGATTTCAGATTCATCACTAAATTGATGGCGGGCAACAAACTGGACACATATTGTGATAACCTGGGGCAGGAGGGCCAGAAGCTGATGTGTGCAGCTTTGAGTGTTTTTGTATAATCTAAGCAGTGGGTTGCTCCTGTATGCCAGAAGAAATGTGAAGCAAGTGCAGAGCATTCATACGGAGATGCAGAATTCCTTTCTACCTATCCACAGACTGTGAAGAATTTTGTTTGTTTTGTTTTTTGAGATAGGGTCTCACTGTACAGTTTGGGCTGGCTCTGTGCTCATTTTTGTAGCCCCCAGCTAGACTCACTCCTAGGGATCCTCCTGTCTCGACCTCCCAAGTGCTGAGATTACAGGGGTGCACCAACACACCTCATTATGGACTTTACTTCTAAGATGACTACACATTCCTAAAGCTGGAGAACTTCCTCACAACAATAATTTTTTAAATTCCTGTCCTGACCTAGTAAAGCAAGAAGAGTAGTCTCTGCACACCGGAAATTTGCATGAGAATGTCTGACTGATGCCTCCACATTAATCCGTCTCACTCTAACTCTCTAAATTCTTCTGTATGGTGCTTTAGGGATGCCATCATCCTCATTGTCACAGACACAAGAACCTGGCAGCCATTACTACTTTTCTCTGTGCAGTCACTAGGGCCTTTGCAGAGGGGTCTGGGTCTAAGGCATGAGATGCTGAGGTCAAAGGTGTGTGAATCCTAAGCTAGTCCACTGATTGGTTTGGCATGGCTCTGTGTTTAGATTCTAGGAATGATCTCCCTAGGTGTGAGGGCTACCTGTCCTAGGGGCATGTAGCTTGGATAGAATATAAGGAGCAGAAAGGGGGCTGCTGTTGTCACTTGCTGTTTGTTGTTTACTACTGTGTTGCTTTGCTGCCTTTCGCCTTGGACTCTTTCTCCTCTGCGATGCCCCTCTGCCATGTCACCTTGTCTTGCAGCTAGTCGATTATGGATTGGAACCTCTATAAATTGCAAGTCAAAATCAAAATATACTTTTCCTTCCTTAATTGTGGGTGTTGGATATTTTATCTCAGCAATAAGAAAAGGAACTAAGATATTCACCAGATTGCATTGATTTTATTCAATAAATACTTACTGATCCCCACTGCCTACTCTATTTCCACACAAGTGAACTCATTTAAGCTCTCATCATTATCTCTCTATGGCCTTCTAATCTGGCTTCCAATCTAGGCTGTCTTTTCCTCTACTATGTTACCTGCACCTGTGCAGGAGCTGTCATGCTAAAATCAAGCTGACTCCCACTTTTGTAGTAAATCCTTGAGTCTTTAATTCAGCATACAAAATCCCCTTTCATCTTCCCCTGGGCTAGTTTATGGCACAGTGATTAAGAATCAAAATTCTAGAATCAGGATGAAAATAGTCCAATGTTACCATATTATTACTTGTTCATTGTGTGACCTTGGCAATGTATTGAACTTCATAAAATCTATTTTTCTTATTTAAAATTGTTGCAGGCATCCAAGTTAGATAGAAATATTACAGGCAGTCAGACAGGGTCAGGCCCACAAGAAGACAAGATGGAAGACAAGGTGACTTTACAACTGGGAAGAGACAGACACCCCCAAATGGGCCACATCTCAAGACCAAGACAAAAAGAGGAAACACAGCTACATACTTCCCTAGGGATGGGCATCAGGGATTGATATTCTAAATAGGTATCAATCACCTTAAAAGAGCCCTATTGAGTCACTAGCCCAAGCCCAACAGGAAGAGACCTTGTCCCATATTCATGCCCACCTGCTACTTGACTTGCTTCCTCATTTGGTAATGAATTTAATCAATTTTACCTGAGAAATGGTGCTTATAATCTCATTGGTTGACCATAGTTTGTCCCATTCCACATACACCTAAGAGAGTTCTCATGTTCTCTACCACCTTCGACCTGCCTCACCACATGGTTTTACACTATAAAAGTCCCTGGAAGAGACAGCTTCCAGGGGAACAACCCACTCAGGTCCCCTCCTGTCCCTTTCTTGGACAGGAGCTGTCTTTCCCTCAATAAATATATTATGCTCATAACCTGTTTGTACCTAAAATTTATTCTTCAGTTTTGGAGAACATAAACTCGTGCAGGTCAGGTTGAGAGATCATTTTTCCCTATGTCATTTGGAGATTCCCTATATCATTTGTAGGTCATCCATTCTAGATCAGTTTTTCTTCCTGTATCAAAATGATAATTCTTCATATCTAATAAAATGTTGCATGGATTAAATGAATAATATATCAATGACAACAGTAACTACTAAACTTCTACCATCATTGCTATTATTTTTCTATCCCATATCTGCATGCATGTGCTTTGCCTACTCCACACCAAGGCTCATGGTCCAGTGTATGTAGTCCTCACTCTCCATGAAATATCATTTCACTTTTCTATCTATGAAGCTCCCCTCATTCTTCTTTTATTATACCTATTATTGAATACATATTACTTCCTAACTTTGTACTGAGCAACATGTCAGACCATGTATTTATGTGTTTATTTTTGTGATAAGATCTCACCACAGCTTGAAGTTACTCACAGTGAGCTCCCACCTGTGATCTTCCTGCTTCAGTCTCCAGCATGCAGGGATTATAGATATGTACTACTGTGCCCTGTTCAAACTTCTTGCAGCCCTTACTAAGGCAGTACTAACATCTATGATGCTGTAATACCTTCTGTTGTTCTTATAATTAATAGTGGTTAATTCATGATATGAAACTAATAATTCCACACTTGTATTTCCTTAGCAATTGTTCAGGCTAGTAACACACAGCACTGTTGAGAACTCTGTTTAAATATTAACCAACTGGACCATGCTCACATTACACATGTGCAGGGGTTTTATTCTATTATTTCCCTCCCTGAAGGAAGATTGACATTGCAGAGTAAAGTTAACTGGTTGGAAGAGAAATAACTGGAAGAAGAAACTAAAGGCAAGATTAGTGAGTAGGAGGTTACTGGTTAATTTGGACTATGCTCATTAAACAGTCAACATTAGGGGGTGGAACTGTGAACAAATAATAACCAATAGGGAAAAAGCTAAAGCAAACAATGGTTTTGCTACAGAATAAAAAAGAATAACTTATTTTGTTCCACAGTCTCTCTTCTTTACTTCACACTGCCTTCTCCTCCCATACATCCACTTTCTTTTTCCTCAATTCATAGTTCTACATACACTGACATCTTCATAAGCAAAAGACTGGGGCACATTTTACTGTTATAATTAATATGATGGCTTTATAAATCAACATGAAATGTGGCAAAGCACATTGAAAAGATGTGGGGGTAGAATTCCTGGTTGGTCATACTAATGTCAATGTTTATTAGTTATGTGACTCTTTGGTCTCCTAACTACCAGATGAGGTTGTATAATTGCTACTGTAAATTGCAAATTATCAACACGTGCAAATATGCTTGCAAAATTTATACAGAGCCCTACAAATGAGAAGTAGTACTTTTTATATTATCAGCGTATTGTGCAAGTTCCTACATAATGAGTTCAATTTTGTCTTGCTTCTAGGGAATGCAGTACTACTGTGCAGATTGCTTTATGTAATATGGTTGAAGTTTCTAGCACATTATTCAAACTTCAATAGTATTTGCCAAAGCACGGTAACTTAATTTGTTACAAAGTGATTTTTATTGAAATATGCAAGCAATATATATCTAGCTGAAGAAAGCATGCATATTTTCATTGTTTAAAATTTCAGTCAAAAAATAAAACAGCAAGGATGATTTTTTAATGTTACTTTTGGCAATGTGTCTTCTAACAGAATCATAAAGTCAATGGCCTCCCAAATTGTGCTACACTTTATGCCTAATCCTTGCCCTGTTAGGTGGAGTTCACATCAGGGTTTCAAAATAATGTATGGGGACCCCAAGGCAGATATAACTCAAAATAAAATGCTTTCAGTATTATTTTTGACACATTTTAAAAAATATTTCTTTTTTATCTCATATACGAAACTATTTTGTCATATCTCCCAACCAAAAATCATATGTGGGCCTGAGGAGACAGTTTGGCAGTCCAAGTACCTGCCTGGCAAGCACAAGATCCTTTTGATTCCTGGTACCACATGCCATGCTGGCCCAGTAACCCTAGGAAAATTGTGCTGGCCCCAAGACCATTGTGGTGGCACACGTCTATAATCCCAGCACCAGGGAGGCTGAGATAGGATGATCACTATGAATTTGAACTGTGTAGTGACACCTTGCATCAAATAAATAAATAAAATAAAAATTTAAAAAATCACATGTGATGGTTTAATATTAAATACCATTAGGTGATTAAGACAAGGTATGCAATCTCAGTTGCCTGCTACAAACTAACTGTAAAGTAAATGGCAAAGTGCCATATGAAAACATGCAGATAGGGGCCGGGGAGATGGCTCAGTGGAATAAGTGCTTCCCTGGCAAATGTAAGGGCTTGAGTTCAATCCCCAGTTCTGAAAAAAAAAAAAAAGCAGATATTTTCATTAATATATCATTTTTATTTTTTGTCTTTAAAATTAAAAAAAGTATCCAAACAGTATAGTGATATTCCAACTAATTTAATAGCATATGAAAATAGTTTTAAAATCTATGAGATGACAACTAGATATTTGATAGTGACATAACTGTGTATTATTATTACTATAACTATGACAATTTTAAGAGCTACATAAGGTGGGAGCCAGCCATCCTTTCCTAAGTACACTGTAGTGGTTGATATGTTGTGTCAACTTGGGAAGTTGAAGGCTTGGTTAGATTGGCTTGGTGATTCCACAGCCGGGGTGTGGAGGCCCTGCCCGGGGTGGGAGGGCCTGCCTAAGCGTGGCTCAGCATGAAAAGGTTATTAAGGGGAGTTATACAAGGACTCAGCGCACCACTTCCTTGGAGGATCTCTGGTCCTCACAGGCGGTGTGGAAGGAAGGGAGAGAAGCCTGATAGATGCTGCAGCTGCT